TTTTGTCAAATCAAATGCTAAGAAAAGGTTTGACCCTGGCAGAACTTCCTTGCTCCGGCAGGCGTGAGCTTCATGCTATCTCATTACGAGTCCCTCAAGGCAGACCATGCAGCTGTAGGCAGAGGTGTTTCTGTGCAGCAACACCTCGCGCGAATCTCTTACCGCTTTCCTGGGGAAATTCGTGCCACGGTTTCAAGGAGCTGCACCTTTCCGTGGGCTCAAATCCTTGAACAAGCAGTGCAGGAAAGAGCCACAGGAAGGGGCTACAAGGAGCATCTAACTTCTACAAGCCCGTCATCTCCATGGATGTTTGCACAGCTTCACGATGTCTTCTTTGTGAATCATAGAAGTTTGCCCGGACTCTGTATGTCATGGCATTTAAATTGACCTTGCGACTGTTGGGACACCATGCCAACGTTCCAACTTTATTTGAACAGCTGGCAATACTCTTGGACTCTTGGTGGTCTACTGGTGGTCTACTGGTGGTCTGGGGAGGATAAGGGGGCCACCCAGAAGTTCTCATAAACCAGGAGGGCAACAACTTTGCAACACCCTTGTGATGACTTGCCATGTTTTCTTGTGTTTGTGCCCATACAGGAGGAAGAGCTATCGTTTACGTAACATGCTGACATGGATTAATATCGTACAGGCCGCAGCCCTTCCTGCACTTCTCCAGAGGGTGGCACTACAAAACGGCCTTGCCGGCCTTGCTGAAGTTAAGTGCCCGGCCGTGTCACACTCACAGAGCATAGCTTCGGACTCCAGATGAAGCTTTGTGGGGCTTGCGATGTCCTTTTGAAGTTGCCATGCCTTTTGCGGCTCAGCACGCAGGGGATGGCTCGGCGTGGGCGAGTCGCCCATTTCGGCTCGTACAGTTCCCCGCCGTGCCGCATCGAAAAAGGCGCGCTTGCCATGGCTGTTTGGCCGGGTTGAGGCAAAGTTGTGCGGAAATGCGGTTCGGTGGCCTCGACAACTGAAAGATGCCCTTGTCACAGTCCACTCGGTTGCAGTATGTGTACGACAGATCACTCCTCTGCCGATGACGCTTGTTTCTACTGGCGAAGTGCGCTTGCGACTGATGAGAGGCATGTGATGATTGCCACACACGTTCTATCAAGTGACTCTCAGCCACAACAAAATCCTGACGAACGGCGACCAACCTTGACCAACCTTTTAATTTCTTTACTGACATGGTTCTGGATAGACCTTTAAGCCCTTTCTCCCCTCCTCACGAGAATGTCAAAACTCAGATCAAACGGATTCTGGGGGCGAAGGTGGTTTGCGGGAGGATGTAGTTACTGCGTGGCCGCTCTGTGGGATTGAGGACGCATCCAGAAATTAGGCAAAGTGTGAATTGGGCTGGAATTGAAATCAACTGCTGTTTGTGCCGGAGAATGGTTCCGCCAAACGCGCCGCACCAATTTGGAGTGGTCCCGGAGGATTTAGAATTGCTTAGTATTGGATCCCGTCAACGTCGGCGGTGTTTATGAATCCCATGTTAGCATGGCCGGGAGAAGTGTTTTTGTTTTGCCTCCATTACATATGTACAGGTAATTAAGTTACGGAAATCATTATTTACTGTGGATGGACGAAATCCTGAACCACCTAACAAACCCTGGCATGATGATTCGCCTGTGAATATCAATAAACAACGGTTTCGCATGGTTTCAAATGGTGCAGGAATTTGTCCAACCACAGTATTTTTGGAAACGGGCGTCGCGGAATCCCGCGGAAGCTTTGCAGAAGGTTTTTTTGTGCGAAGCTCTCGGAAGGGTTTACGGAGTATGTTTGTTTGTGTTGGTAGTTCAGCTTGTGGAACAAGCAAATGACAAAGGAGCCAACGATGAAGCAGATTGTTTTGCGTGGATTGTGTGCCCATTCGGGTTGCAAACTAGGGTCTGCTTAGAAGGTTGTTATGCAAGGTAAGGTGAGGCTTCTTCGGGAGTTCTAGCAAGTGTTCTGTCCTTCTTACAAGCAGCTTTGAGTTCAGCCTGTGAATGTGTGTGTGTTTGCGGGTGCGCGCGTGCGACAGAGAGAGGTTTGCGCGCGCGTTTTAGGCAGCCGTGCCGAACCCCAAAAAGCCGAACCCCCAAACGCGGAAGCTTCGCGGAGGCGCCGCGGAAGCTTCGCGGAAGCGGCGCCCGACCTTTCGCACCATTTGCTCTTTCGTAGGCCGCCAAGTCGACCAAATGCCCAGACGTTCCACCCTGGAGAGCAAGGGAGCAAGGAAGCAAGCGAGCAAGTAAGCAAGCAAGCAGCAGGTTCTATAACCATGCCAAAACTGTGCTCGCGGAAGCGAAATGCCTCTTAATGTTGTAAACTCATGTCCGTGGAAGCTTGCGGAAGCAATTTTCTCTCAAAACGTTTCGCGGAAGGTACCCAGGCAGCACGCGGAAGCGCGGAAGGGTCGGCGGAAGGTTGAATAATCGATAGTGCCCGCAGATGTGGCGCTGGACTTTTTCAGGTCTGTCCCGCACCACCACCCCCCCCCCCCTCACCCTCTTGAAGGGGGGGGAGGTCCACCACCCCCCCCCCCACGCAGCAACCCCCCCCCCCTCACCTCTTAAAGGGGGGGAGGGTCCACCACCACCCCCCCCCCCCGCCCCGGACAGCAAGCCCCCCCGCACCCTCGGGGGGGAGTCCACCACCACCCCCCCCCCCCCCTGCACAGCAAGGGGGGCGGGGTTTGCACCACGCCCCCCCCCCCCCCGCGCAACTTTGGGGGGGGGGGGGTACCACCACCCCCCCCCCCCACCTTGAGCAGCTGTGCAGCTAAATCTTGGTGCCACATGTGAGCAGGGGTGCAACTAAATCTTGCTACAAAAAATCTTCAAAAGTGGCGGGCAGCCCCCCTATGATGTTTCAAGGGTGAAGGTGTGATGATTCAAAGAGGGCGGGCGGATGTTCGAAGTGATGATTCGAGTAGAGGCGCAGTTAGCTTGTTGCAAAATGTACTACGTAGCGGGGGGGTTGGGGGGGGGCGGGAGCCCCCCCCGAAGAAGAGCTTGTTGCCAAATGTCCTAAGTAGCGGGGGGGTTGGGGGGGCCGCCCCCCCCATGATGCTCGAAGAAGTGATGATTCAAATAGGCGCGCAATGCAACCTAGGTGGAACATCAAGGAGTGATGATTCAAAGAGGGCGGGCGGATGTTCGAAGGGATGATTCGAGTAGGGGCGCGTCTAAATCTGGGTGCCAAATGCGCCAAGTAGCGGGGAGCTGCGGTCAATCCCTGCAACAAATCTAAAAAAGCAGCCGGGGGGGATTCAAAGAGGGCTGGCGGATGTTCGAAGTGATGATTCGAGTAGAGGCGCAGTTAAAGCTTGTTGCCAAGTGTACTCAGTAGCGGCGGGGTTGGGGGGGGCGGCAGCCCCCCCCCATGATGCTCGAAGAAGAGCTTGTTGCCAAATGTACTAAGTAGCGGGGGGGTTGGGGGGGGCGGCAGGCCCCCCCAGGATGCTCGAAGAAGCGATGATTCAAATAGGCAATGCAAATTCTTTTTTTCAAGGGTGAAGGTGTGATGATTCAAAGAGGGCGGGCGGATGTTCGAAGTGATGATGCGAGTAGAGGCGCAGTTAAAGCTTGTTGCAAAATGTACTAAGTAGCGGGGGGGTGGGGGGGGCGGCAGCCCCCCCCATGATGCTCGAAGAAGTGATGATTCAGATAGGCGTGCAATGCAACCTAGGTGGAACATCAAGCCGGGGGGGATTCAAAGAGGGCGGGCGGATGTTCGAAGTGATGCTTGTTGCCAAATGTACTCAGTAGCGGGGGGGTTGAGGGGGGCGGCAGCCCCCCCCATGATGCTCGAAGAAGAGCTTGTTGCCAAATGTACTAAGTAGCGGGTTGGGGGGGGGGGCGGCAGCCCCCCCCATGATGCTCGAAGAAGTGATGATTCAAATAGGCGCGCAATGCAAATTCTTTTTTTCAAGGGTGAAGGAGTGATGATTCAAAGATTGCGGGCGGATGTTCAGAGAAATGCTTCGAGCAGGGGCGCAGCAAAAATATTGTTGCCGAATGTACCAAGTGGCGGGGGGGTTGGGGGGGGCGGCAGCCCCCCCCATGATGCTCGAAGAAACGATGATTCAATTAGGCGCGCAATGCAAATTCTTTTTTTCAAGGGTGAAGGTGTGATGATTCAAAGAGGGCGGGCGGATGTTCGAAGGGATGATTCGAGTAGAGGCGCAGGTAAAGAAGCTTGTTGCCAAATGTACTAAGTAGCGGGGGGGTTGGGGGGGGCGGCAGCCCCCCCCATGATGCTCGAAGAAGAGCTTGTTGCCAAATGTAGTAAGTAGCTAGCAGCAGTCGTTTCGGGTGGTCCACAGTCTTCTTCTCAGGCAAGCCCGAAAAGTGGTGACGGAAATGGAAATGGAGGGGGTGGTGGTGGTGGTTAGTTGGGTGGATGCGAGTGGGTAGTGGTTGTGGGGGGGGGGGGGGGGGTGGTGTGGTTGGTGTCATAGTTGGGGGGGGGGGGGGGGGGGGTGGTGGATCTAGCACGGGACAAGATGGTGGGGGGGGGGGGGGGGTGGTGGTTCTGGCAAAGGAAAAGATGTGGTGGGGGGGGGGGTAGTGGTTCTAGTGAAGGAAAAGATGTGCAGGGGGGGGGGGTGGTGGTGGTGGCGGCGAAGGGGTTGGGGTTAGACATTGAGGTGAGTCAAAGGTAAGAAGGGGGGGGGGGGTGGTGGTGGTGACTGGAAGCAACGCAGCGAGAGGGGGGGGGGGGGTGGTGGTGCTGACGCCTGACCTTCGTGGTGATCACGCCTGAAAAACAGGAACTCTCGAATAATCTCAATTGAACAAAAAGGGAAGAAAAGCACCACTCAGATGTGATTCTGAGTTGTGAGCCCTGCTAACACAAAAGCTTAGAGATCCGTGGGTATGGGTCCAACTTAACCCAAATCAGCCGCGTTTGTTTTGGTACATGTCTTACCCCTATTTTTGACCTGCGTTGAAAGGCTCCAGTAACTTACAGGCGGGCAGGCGGGTCCTTCTTTTGGAGCCAGCCAGGCCAGAGGCGGTCAGCGGCCGCCCATGGCAGGGGCCTTTGACCGTGGTCGTTTGTATGGCCGTGGGTCAAAAATATGTACCCAAAATGGAGCCCTGGTAAATGGAAACATGGACTAAAGCCTGCGGTTTTTCTGGTGCTTTAATTTTGACCCATACCCATATATATATATATACATTGGTATAGGAAAATGCATTTTGTATACGACAACATGCATATATTATATGTGTAGAATCATTGCCATGCTTGGCTTGGCTGTTTGCCCCTTTCCCCGTTTCGGGTCTCTGCAATGTTCTGCCTTGGCATCGTAAATAACATATATATATATATAGATAGAGACATATACGTAGATTTGTATTCTGGATGGCTAGGAGGGTGGATGGTTGGATGGGTTTGCAGAGAAATATATGTTTTTAGGCACGTGTGCATGTCAGTACGTGCAAATATGCGGACGGCTTGATGCGACATTGGGAGACCCAAAGGAATCATAACTAAACGAGGGCATGCGTCTTACGCTATGCATTTACTTGTACCTGAACACTACATTTCAGGTATGACTTGCGGTGCATGGAGGCCACAGCATGGAAAGGAATTGTTGACATGTTTGGCATGTATCGCAATTGAGGCATGAGCATCAAGGCTTCGGCATAGGATGGCTTCGGCATATGGTAATGTGCAATGGAATCATTCATGAGGCAACTACATACAAGATATACGTCAACGCACGCGTACGTGAACATTCATGTACGTATATATCTATATAATTATAAATATGTTCCGAACACAGAGAAAGAGGGAGAGATTGGCATAGAGTGTGTGTGTGTGTTGTGCGCATTGGTGTTTGTTTTTCCCGCTTGGCACAACGTGGGAGTCCAAGCACTGGGCATAGAGAACTGACGGCAGTTCCATGACTCGTCGCGTTGTGGCTTCCAGCATCCGATTTCGAGGAGCACCAACCCAGTGTGGCCACAAGTTTTTGACCTGGCAACTCTTGGCTTTTGGAGAAGACATTGACCCCTGGCCCGACTTGATGTGTGTGGTTTTTATAGTTGCGATTGTTTGTCAGCTACAAGTAGTCGCGCATATGTGCCATGGTCAAGCCAGCCCTAGACTTGGGGTTGGTAAGGCCCTTAGTGGGGAGTTAGAAACAACCTTGATGTGTTGAGGTTTTGATCATGGGCAAATGAGTTTGGACCATGGTGGGCTGGAACAGACACGTATTCGATGTATTCCTTTCAACTGGCCGCACAAGTAAGGGACAAGAGGTCCCTCAATTTGCACGAAGAGGGGAAGAAACGCCAATAAGTTTAGGGTAAGTTGCCAACGTGTTTGTTTTGTTTTTGTGGAGATGTATGTTCACTGTTGGCAAGTTGTTGTCAGTTGTTTTTTTTTTTGGTGTGTGTTTTTTGGGTTCTGCTCATTTTGTAAAAGGCGGCTGCACAAAGCGTCTCGCTTTCTGGGGAAATGTCCGAGATCCCAGGCGCCGAGCGCTTGAGTTAGGCGCCCCAGATGAATTGCTCGAAGATCTCCACAGGTTTAGTTGGCATCTCCACAGGTTTGGTTAGTGCAAACTGGAGGTCGAAGCCCTTGATTGGTTTCAGGCAACGCCTAGATGGTTTGGATTGGTCCGGGATTTGAACCTGGATTGGTTGGATTGGGGCCTCTTTGTGTTGTCCTACGCGCTTGCATCCATCTACCTGGAGAACGGGACATTGATTTCAGGAAATGTCTGGATGGTTCGGATTGGTCGGGATTGAAAGCCCTGGTTCTTTGTAGAGGGTAGAAGGCAGCCGAGCAAAGCTCGAATCCAAACCACCGATTTAGATGAAGCTGATGGTTGCTGGTTGACACCGTCTCCATCTGAAAAGTTTTGACGAGCCACAACCCCCAGGTTCAGCCAGCAGACAAGCACCAAGCCACGCGTGATCATTCAATCTGTGGTTTGTCCTGTGTTTGTTCTGTCTTTGTGTTTCAGTGGTGTCTTTCCCAACATTGCTGTTTCTGAGCAGTGTCCTTCTTGACAGTACGTGTTTTTTCTTCTGGGCGATTCGTATTCGCGGTTTATTAATACCTGGGTCCAACATTAAGCCAGCCGCAAATTCCACTGGCTACGGTGAAGCAAGTTTCCTCCGTAGAATAGAGGAATTGACAGCAGGTTCCCGCGCTGTGACCCCGAATTCTGTTGCTATTGCAAGTTTCCTGCAACTCCGAGGTGAGATGTCGATTTTTTGCAGCATTGTTTTTGGAGGGGAGCATCGTTCCACGTGGCTCCTCTTCTCCCTGCTTTGCATAGTTTTGGGTAGACGCCTTCCATACCAGGGTTTGATTGTGATGGTGACTCACCTCGCCTATCCCCAGCCGACCTATCGAAATTGTGTTTTTCTAGTGTTGGTCCGTATTGGTTGAGTCATGCTTGCGGAAGATTGGCCCTTCACTTCCAGGCAGACCGATTTGAATGGGAGACACTTGGCTCCGAAATAGTTTTGAGAGAGGCATACAGTGTTGCTCCATGAATGATGACTACCGTCTTCCTCGGTGTTGAGTGCTCAGTGCAAACCTTCTGCACATTTCATCCTTAGTGCCTTTCACTGGGGGGCCACCTGAGAACAAGCTCCCAAAAACGCGGCGGGAGCCATACAAGTCTCAAGATGTCTTTTGCTGCTTTGCTGAACTTCCCTGCATTGCCTGCCATGCCCCTTCCTGCCAATTAAACAATTCTGAACCACACCCATTCAATCCCTTTTTGTTTTGCGGGTTCCCAATTTCCAACCCACCGGTCACTGGGATCCTCGCAACCAGATTGCTTTAGGACGAGAGCATGCCTGGCTGACGCAAGAATGTCAGGCGCGTCGCCAATTGCCTTGAGCCTGCGGTTTCAACAGAAAGCCTTGCAGTGAGTCTGTTTCTCGTGCCAAACGAATGCCAACGCCATGAATTATGATTTCACCCGGACGTGTTTCTTTGTTTTTCCCGCTAGAGGAAGCAAGATTAAGACCCGACGGTGTATATTTACGGGAACTAGCGGCTCAAGCAACTTTGACTTGAGTAATTACTCTACACGGTTGGCTCCAGGTGTGTAGCTTTGTTTGTATGTGTCACCCTATTTGCCCAACCCAAAGCCATGCACGGGAGACTGCTGGATACACTTGCGAGCCGGACAGCAGGCAAGCAAACTGCGATTGCTCCACATACCTTTGCAACTGTTTGTTTGTTTTCGACTAGTGCCGTGGTTTGAGTGTAATGCGTGAGGTGTACATGCTGCTCGGAGTAGCCAGTAGAGGACTTTGAGGAAGCCGTTCTGCAATTGTTCGTTTGCAAATAGCAAGGATCAGCTGAGAGCGTTAAGGTTGCTGCTTGCTGATATGGCTGTGGGTCAAAACCAATGGTACCATTCTGTGGTAGATGCACCACCCATTTTAGTCTATTTTGTTTCGGGATTGATTTCAGACCAATTGAGAAAGTGGCCATGGGTCAAAATCCTATACCCCCAGTGAACATCCCAATCCCCACTAAAATAGGTCCTAAAATGGGTGGTGAATTCACCTACCAACCAAAATGGGATACCAAATTGGTTTTGACCGCCACAGCCAAGTGACCTGAAGCCATGCCTGTGTCGCTTATAGCCGTTCAATGGGAGGTCGCTTAGGCATCTACAAAATGGAGGACGACGTTTTTTTATCTTTTCCATTCAAATCATTCGTTTGCGACATTCTTTCCAAACTTGAAAAAGCAGTTCCGACTCCTTGTCCGCAGTGCAGGGTTTCGTAACACCAAAGAGGTTTCTCTCAGCGAACTGGCCAGGAGTGAGGCTCGGGGGCGGCTGTTCAATGGCCAAGCGAGAGATCGGTGCTGGCATTTGCTGTACAGCAGTCGGAGGGCCGTTTGCGCCAAGCTTGGCATTGCGGACTTCTGGGCGGTTCACATAATTTATCGTACAGCATTGCATGATTATATGATCAGACCTATTGTTGTTGTCCGGTCAGGAACAAAAAATCGAATGAGCTGAGAGCAGCTGAAGTCCGCCTCTCTCTGAAGGCAGCTGAGTGAGTCAAAGACATACCCGGCTGAGACATGTACATAGAGTAGAACATGTTAGCATAAGCGTTGTGCTCAACAGTTTGGCTTGCCTTGCGCCGGGCCCTTATCAGTTGCTTGGAGCTTGCACCCGCTTATTTGGATATGTGCTGAAGGAGCTCAATCAAGATCATCTGTATTTGTGATGTTAGTGTTTATGTCACTTCGCCACTGCGCATGTATAATTCTCAATGCGGTAGCATAGCCTGTTCGTGTTTGGAGGGGCAGCCCTTGTGTTTTGCTGCCTTTCTGGCCCTTGTTTGGGTCACGGAGCCCCGGATTCCCCGGATGCCGAGCCCCCAGGGCGTCTTCAACGAGATGGTGGCGCTCCGCATCTCCCCGGACCAGCGCGCCTTTGCGATGCTGCTCTCCGCGTGACCCGTTGAACGGCAAAACCAAGAGGACGCAATCTGAGGGGTCCAAATATATCACGACATTCCGGAGTAAATGGGACACTCCTTGATCAGAACAACTGTTTGCATGGGTCAGCGAGGCAGTTTTGAGGAAATGGCGAGAAGATGAGTTTGGGCGGCATTTTAGAAGTCTAAATGCCGTTTTGTAGAATTTCTTTGGGAGGCGGGGGGCGCATTCATGGAGCCGAGATTGCACCCCAAAGTCCCAATCAAAACACAGTAGAGTATCGGGTTGCTTTGCATTGATGTGTGTATGCACAAACTGCTAAATAGAGTTCGGGGTTTATCATCGTTCGTTTTGCAGACGCCCAAAACGCATTTGAAGGCTTGCGTCGCTTGGTGCTTGAAGGGCAAAATTGCCAGGTACGGCAATGCCAGCCCAAAGCAGGCTGAGGCACGGACGGGGGTGCATGAAACAGAACCTGAGGTTCTTATCAACGGCTGAAGAGGGTTATTGGTGATACATGTAGCCCCCCAACCTCCTCCACCCCCCTTTTCCCCCCCCTCCCACCCCACCGCCCACCTGCCCCCACCCCCCACCCTTACCCTTCTGTAGCTTCGCTAACGTTGGAGGTTAGAAGACTGCTTCTTACGGCCGACAAGTTGGCCGTTGGCCGTACTTGCTTTCTTGTTTGGTCGTCGCAAGTGCTTGTTCTGGTTGCTTCGCTAGCGCCCGCGAGCTGTGTGTGGCGGGTGTGCCAAGGTTTTAGTGCCTTGTAAGCTTCACAGCATTACTAGGCCCGAGGGCAAACGCCATGGGGTTCAAATCAAATACCAACCAAGTCTTTGCTTTTTCAGCTAACAGCTTGTGGGAAGACGATGCTGATTATTGTTATGAACCAGCTCAAGCTGAGCCCTTCACTGGCATGATATTGGCAATCGGCCTGTTCAGGTTTTGAGCGATTTTGTTGGGAAGTGGTAACTCTGAAACGCTGCGCCTTCACTTTCAGCTTCACCTGTCGGGCTTCAATGATTTAAGCGTGAAGCAAACAATTGTGTCAGTTTATGCTGGATCTCTCTTAGTTTGGTTGGGATGCGCGAGATGCGTTGCTGACCTGCATTTTCAAAGCCATTAATATGACTAGCATGTTATTGAACGCAAACACGTGCTTGTCTTAAGAATTTCGGGGACCCTACCAATTTGTTTCATAGAAACCGGGTACAGGGAACATTACAGGACCCCAGCCAATTATCCACCGGTTAAACTTCCTGCTGGTTTCTTAAATTGTTGGCTGTTGGCTTGGTTCTCCATTCAAACTGAGGTTCCCCCATGACAGACACGCCAGCTCTGGAGCCGCGGGGAAAAAGCCCTGAACCAGACGCCATAAGAAAGAATGCCTTGAGATTTGCTGAGAACACGGGGGAGTTGCAGACACTGATGTTTAGTAAAACCACACAAAAAACTATAATACTAATAATTCTCACAACAATAGTAATACTAATACTAATACTAACACTACTAATAACTATAATAATACTAATACTAGTAAAACCAATAATAGTAATAATGTGCAACAATACTCATTTGATCCTAGTTCAGCTACCCTTTTGAGCTTGAAAGCAGCTTTCCGGCCCCTGCCTTTCCAGTCACGTTGGCTTCATGTTGATCAGCTTCCTCTTGCGTGCCAGGTTTGTATGTGGTTGACATGACTGGTAAATCTGGAACTGTTTACCGGCACCTTTGAAGTCCATCGTGATTCGGGGTACCTTTGCCTTGTGGTTTCAGTATGGACGTGCTCAAGCCACCAGCCAAAACTGCCACCCTTCAGGCTGCGGAAGATTTGTTCCAGCGCATGCCACGGCAGTTCCAGCCGCCTGACACGGAATGGATTTTTAGGGGGTCTTGTTATTCAGCCAGGGACCAATGGGTTTGCAAGCATGGCTGTTTGCAAAGCCCAAATTGAGCGGGCTGCCCAGGAACGAAGGGTTGGTCATAGCCTGCTTCGATACAGGAGACCTGTGAATCAATTGTCGCGTAAAGTACAGACGTCGCTTATCGTCGGTGCCTAGATCAAGCATGTTTTTCTTGATCTGGAGTTAGCGAAGTGGGCGCAATCCGCATCGAAGTCCCTTGTAGTGATACTGTTGGTACTTCATTTCGCACTTTTGCAAGTTGTCGCTTCTGTCAGATACGGCCCCAACTCTTGCACCATCAGCTCGACAGACAAATCCATGGTGGAGCTTTTCTAGTGTATCTCCATGCCAATAGACATCTCCAGTGCGTTTTGACTTCTGACCTGTCAAGAGTTCAGTTTTTGGGACTCCCAACCGCAAGTGTTGGTCCATGTTTCCACTTACCGGGGCAACACATACAGCCAATTGTCTCTCTGAAACTTTTTGTGGCGAGCTCAGTCCTCGGAGCTCAGGACTGGCCTGGTTCGAGATGCCATGCGGCGATGCCGTCAGGCCTTCGAGAACCGGGGGATGCCGGGGGTGGTCCGGTGGCGGATCGATCGATGCGCGAGGCTTTGTGATGGCGAGGTCGGGGTGAACTGGTTGAGATTTTTTTGAAACCAGCTGCATCCCAAAAGGTAACATTGGTTTGCGTACATTGTTCAGTGCCATTGTGCAGTGCTTGCCAGACCGTGCTGCAGCTTGGTGTTTAAGTTGTTGGTTGCCGTTTTCGGACTAAACGATCATAGCCGCAAACAACAAACACCAAGCAGGGCTAACTGATGCCATGTGTTTTGCCCTCGTCAGCTGACACTCTTGCAGACCGACAGACGCCTGCGCGATTTTGATTCTGCTAAGAGTTGACCAATGAGCCTTATCATGTTTCATTTCTAAAATATGGGGCCGTTGAGACTGGTTGGGTTCCTTTCCCTCTCGCTTGCTTTTGAAGCAACCTCGAATGGCTTCCTTCAAACAGGAACCATGACGGATGAAGGTCCGCAGCGCAGACTCAAGCGGCCGCGGCGTGGCATTCGTTCGCGAAAGGTGTTTTAGCCATTCGTTCAGCACCAACCTGGCTTTCTGCGTTCATGGCAAACGTCAGCATGCTCAACGGGAGGGTCTTGATGACGGAAGAAGACTTTGCCCACTGGTGGGAGGATCAAGGCGAGTTGCGAGAATCACGCCGCTTCTCCGATGAGCTGAGGCGGCATTTGGCAAGGCAACTGAACTTCCCTAGCTTCCGACGTCTCGCTTTGGCCCACGGCCTTGCTTCTGGGGCTGCATCGGCCTACGCGTTTTGAGATGTTTTGGGACAGGCCGAGTTTTTGTTCCTGCTTCCTAGAGCGCAATGTAAGACAAACTCACTAATTAAACTGACAAACAACCTTTCGGCTGACGCGCAAACAACCCGTTACATGCAGGAACGCGTCCTGGCAGCAAAGCTGCGCACTTTGTGCAGCTTAGGATTTGCTTTCGCAGGACAGCCCCTGGGACAAGGAAACGCCCTTAGTGGCTTTGGCGAGGCCCTATGTGGAGCTCAACTCCCACGCGAAGTCCCAATTTTCGAAGGCAGCCAGTGAGGGCGACCTGCAGCAGGTCTTGAACCTCTGTCGCCAACAGAAAGCTTTCATTGCTTCAACGACAGGATTACGGCCCAATGAAACTCATTAGCATAAGGGGTCCTTTTTAGGTCAATTTGGTCGAACATAAATGGCGCTGGTTTCAATTTGGCCATGAGTGTTCTAGTGATTTACTAGCACATGCTAGTACCGTGTATTTTGCAAAAAGGCTGCACAGGCTCAATGCTTAAACAGAGAAGATGCCAAGCACTTCCGAAGCGTGCTTTGGCTTGGAATCTCATTGTAGCCGTTGAGCTTGTCAGTTGCAGTTGGGTTGCGTTGGGTTTGCTTGCAACATGATAAGAACGTAGTGGTAGCATGTGATATGTCGGGAATATGAGTCAACATGGCACTGGGGTCCATTTTGGCTCAGGTGTTTGGTACTCGGTTTTAGGAGAAAGTATCCCTTTCTTCGTTTACTAGCCATGTCCTTCTCCGACAAGACGGCTAAATCCGTAAAGATCATCGAGGAGGAGGACTACGAGATGGCGGAGGCGTCTGACATCATCCGGATCCAGGACGCGGAGGCCAGATGGCCCTCCAAACGTCGAGCATGGACTTCAACTCGCAGCCCTGCGACCTGTGGGCCAATGTTGGAGCTGCAAGACTGCATCTCCAACCTGAATATCGGCAGGGAGCAGAGAGGAGGCATGTGGGCTTGGTCAGCCTGGCGGAGGGGGAATCCGAGAAGACGGGGGACACCATGCAGCACATGATCGTCGAGCCGGACACCACCAAGGAGCTGTCCGGGCCCAGCATGGGAGCGCCGCAGGACACCCAGCCCAAGAAGTTGCAAGCCATTCAGGAGGCACCCGGACGCAACTCTCGCACTCTTGGCAAGGGGTTCATTGTGTCCCGCGCTCTATGGACGACAGAGTATGGTCCGCCAGGCCCGCGGTGAGCGCCATGAAAGGCTTAACTTCTCCATTTTCAAGATGGTAGCGACAACCAAGCATCCAAGAAGCCGTTCACGGCGGCAATCCTGAGATAGTGCTTCAGGGCTTCGACTCCCTTGTTTGCTGAGAAAGGGTTTCTTTGACTGTAGCTGAGTCTCCACCCAAAATCCCGTGACCGGATTCATTGAAATCCTGCATTCCCTCTGTCCACCAGTGCCGGGGGTTCAGATAGGGCTTGTCACACCCAAGCTGGGACTGAGGCGCTCACACATTGCAAGATATTGCAAGAGACAAAAAAGGGGTTTTGTCCTGTTTGGTTGAGGGTAGACGACTCCTGACATGTTCGCATTTGCTGACATTATATCTTGATATTCAAAGATCACATTTTTTTGCATTTTTGCCCTGTTCACGGGATAGCGGTGGTAGCCAAGGAGCCTGTTGGAGGTGCCTCATGACCCTTTGGACCTCCTGTCCCCGACCTGGGGACGGCAAACACCATGGCACGAAGCAGCTGCACGCGGACACTTGGAAGTTGTCCAGTGCTTGCTGGAAGCCGGCGCTGAGAATTTGTCCAACGGGCGTGGCGAGACGCCGCTGCTTCTCGCTGCGGCTTGGTTGCATTCCATTACACCCTGAGGCTTTAACTTGAAAGGACAAGAAAAGGAAGATGCAATCTTGACCCAGTGATCTCCAAGAGGCCTGACTCTCGGGTATTTTTGGGGCCGTCCATCGACTAAGGCCATGCGAGGATCTCAAGAGGTTGTTCAATGCCTGCTCGGGGCTTCTGCTGATGACATGCAGGCGGACGTTGAAGGCCGCACTCCTTTGTGGGTGGCCTGCAAAGGGGGTCATGGCACGGTTGTCCAGCTCCTAGTTCAAGCCCGTGCTGATGTGAACAAGAGCACGATCACCGGTTGTTCACCTGTCTCAGCGGCGCTTTCGAATCTGGGCGTCGGAAAACTGGATTTCTTGAAAGTAGTGTTTACCCTTTGTGTCTTAGGGATTTGCATCTGCAGTTGTTGAGTTGTTCAGTGATACGTTTGAGAGCGAACTTATGCGCTGACAGCTAGTTCCGCTGTTTTTTTGAATCACCTTGGATGATGTCCCTGTCCGGCGGTGTCTAGCCTTCCTATTTCTTAAGACTCTTTTGTTATTTCAAATATTTCCCCTCGTTGGTTTCAAATGACAAATCTATCACTGGACATATGTAGTTATCTTTGTCCACCACCAAAATCCAAATTCCACCAAAAACCGCAGGTTCTAGTCCTTCTTTCCATTTACACGGGTATTTACCAGGGCTTCTTTTCCGCGTTGTTCCCTATGTTTGACCCCCACCCCCCCCCCCCCGCCTCGTCTGAACGCCGCACCCGCCCGCAGGACTGGCGGGTGCCGCCGTCGACGCGGCTGAACGACGGCCGTGTGGACTGCGGGGGCCGCTTCGTGGCCGCGGGCTGCGTGGAGAAGGGCGAGGAGCCCAGGGCCCAGGTCTACCGAATATCAACTCAGCCGCCTGACGCTAGGAACGGCCACCAAACGCTCGCCCGGCTCTTGCTGCGCGCGGGTGGCGGAAGAGGTCTGCATGACGCGCCAGTCCATGAATGCCTTGACTACAGCTACAAGTCTGCCCAGCCAGAGTGCAGAATGGACGTGGCAAAATTGATGCGCGACAGGTGGCAGCTGCAATTTTCAGGTTCACCGTGCATAGACAAGGTCACTGTCGATGAAGCACGGCACCTAATCCTGTCCCTCTAAGAATAAACGCCCCCCCCAATAACACACACTCGGAGGGTGTTTATCATTAGAGTCCTCCGGTTTTGGCGAGAACTGTTTCTTTTGATTGCATTGTTTAGCATTGGGCCCCTGCAAAAAGGCAACTGTTTAGAAAGAGCTTTTACAAGGAACCTCTCTGATTTGCGACAGACGTGTCCAGAATGCCACTTTTAAGTAAGAATTTGTAAAGGGAAGGGCCCCCCTCTGATGTACAGCAAAAGTATTAAGCCTGCAACTGTGAAGCCTTGATTTGCAAACAAAAAGTTGGGAATGCAACTTTTCAGTACGAACTTTTTAAGGGGGAGGGACCAGAACTTTTAAAGGCAAGGGACCCCAATTGATTTGCATAAAGAAACTTGATAGTAACAAACTCTGTTTGCCAGCTCGAGACCCTGACAATAAAACTCGCTTTGTAAGTGCTACTGGAGGCACTGATTCAAAGCCGTTTGCGTTTGTGATTGGAGTTGGGATTAGCTTGATAATTGGTCTGGCTTGTTTAACACCCAATTCCCACTCAGGCATTGAAACTTGAGCAATGTTGCATCTGTGTGTAGCCCTATTTCTGAAGGTGGATTCCCCCTTGTCCAGCTTCAAATACATTCGACAAGCGGCGTTTGCCTATTTTCAGAAGAAACCATCCATTTGAAGGATCAGCAGGTTTGCACGTCGGCAAGAGCATGGTTGACACGTACAGCTTAGTCATTCTGACGCACTTTGCCGACATGTACAAATTAGAGTGACTATTAGTACCTATTTAGCAAGTGCTACTCGACAATCTGCTTCCCTTTGCGCTCGGCAGGCGCCTCAAAGAAGGTGAGCCTGACCCGCGCGGATGCAAGCAGAGTGTGATGTTGGATGGCGAGACGGCTGATATCATGATGTCACGAGCTATGTCTTGTCGCTGGAAAACTGCCTGCAGAAGTTCACGCTGCCTGTTTTTGTACGTGTTGTCTTCAGTTCACTGTGGATATTTGCACACAATGGGGTTTCCTCCAGCAGGGTTGTTGGACAGTCTTTGTGCACGGTCAGTAAATTGTGTATTGGAAGAAAACAAAGTTTTGCCTACTTGTAGGACTAAGGAAAAGGACACCTCTTTGATCAACTTCCCACGATTTGGATACGGCGCCACAAGCGCAGTTCTCATGCCTGGCATGTTGAGTTACCCAAAGCACATTTGACCACGCCTTTCAGATGTTGTGGACGCCCCTAAGCTCAGGCCAAATCTGCCCAGACAACCCAGCGCGGAATGATGTCGTATTGCCATGCGTCCATGTATGTCCAGTCCCAGCCCCCTGACATTTGTTTGAATGATCCCAAGCACTGGTTGGAGTCAATCAAGCGAGGATCCGTTTGCTTGCTTTGCGTGTTAACTTCTGCTCGCGCCTTTGTGTGGCTTCAGGGCCTATTTCATGGAAGGGAGCCGGCGCAGCCAAAGGAAGCAACGGCAAGGCCCTGACACGAGGGGGATGTGGAGGAGCTGATGCCGGAAACCAATGCAATTCAAGGCCATTTTTGCAGAACCACACTCCCATGGGTGTTGAGCACCGCAAGACTTCTTAAAGGTCAATCACTTAGGGGACACCTGGTCTTTTACGTTCCAAAGCGATAGCTTTGTCCTGGAAACAAGGCCCGCGGCCGTTTACGAGTGTGAACTGCCTCTTGGGTCGTGTTATTGAGGGTAACCTTTGTAGGCTTGGTCGAATAGCAAATCCAAGCGTGGCACCGGGGTTTGAGGCACATGGTTGCAAACCAAACTCTTCTCCATGTTCCAATAAAGCCTCCCCCCAAAAACAAAACTCATCTTGAGCAGTTCTTGAGGATCATTTTTTTTGAGCTCTCACCGTTCCAACCCAAAAAATCCTGGGGTTTCACGGTTTCACGCGCCAGCCGAGAAAAATCCCCATGCCATGGAAGCGCCTGGCGGGCCTCTGGCTTTCCCTGGCCTGCTCGGAGCTCCGCGTGCGCCTGCGCAGCGGGGAGTTCCCCGCCGCACAGCCGGGGGAGGCCGAGCCGGGGGAGCCGAAAAGCGGAGGCCGAACGCGACCGCAAGTTTGAAGCGACCAACATGACTTGTTGAGTGTCTCAGGGAAACAGAAGGATTGAAAACAAAAGCGAAGGCCGAACATCGCCACAAACATCCACTTTCAAGCTTGTGACGACAGCCTGAATCAAGAGCAGGTAACCAACTTATTAACCAGGCTCCCGCCTGCTGCTGCCAATCTTGGCGCATTACGGGAAAAGTCATAAGGACCGGTCCTGAAACACGGGTGCCAGTCCGCAAACCCAGGGACCACTTATAAGATCCTCTACGACCACAAACAAGGATTAACGAAAAAGTCAGAAAGATGGCAGCTAGTCCGTTAATTACCGCTTGGGCCGGCTCGCGCCCAAGTCTTCGAGTTGGCCCGGGAGCGGTCGCCTCTCTCGGAGTCGTCCTGAAACTGGCCCTCCCGCAACTGCCTGTGGGACAGTTGCCCTGGACCGGTCGCCGGCAGGGGCCGGGACTTGGGACCCTGTCCAGGCTGGTCCCCAGTCTGGCGCGGTTTGAATCGACGTATTGGGCTCTCTTGCAGAATAGATCCAGGGATCCTTTACTACCACAAGGATTAACGGAAAAGTCAGAAAGATGGCAGCTCGTCCGTCAATGGGCCGGTTTGCGCCCAAGTCACGTCAAGTTGGCCCGGGCCTAGAAACAAGGCCGTCGGTGCCCTCGACCGGTCTCAGGCAGGGACCGGGACTGTGGGACCCTGTCCGGTCCTGAAACACGGGTGCCAGTCCGGAAACAGCGGCATTGGAGGAAACAGGTGTCTGGAGCGGTTTGAGGCTCCAGGACTGGCAGAGTGCTGTTCGAACCGACATAGCGGAGGAAAGAGGTGTCTTGCGGTTGGAAGTACCAGCGCGGTCGCACCAGGACTCGACCCTGGGACCGGTGCTCGGACCGGTCTTGAAACCTGCAGGAAGGACCGGTCCCAGGACCATGGGATGGTCCTGGCAGGACCCGAAAAGCACCAGAACCAGGGTCCCCGGTCCCAGGACGAAAAATCATCATGGATTCCAATCACTTCATTCCAGTTGCGGGTCGGCGGATTTTATCTTTCCTCCGACATAGCGTCCGGGGGTAAGATCATTTGTCAGGTGCCATGGCAACGTGTGGAGTCTGACGTAACTTGCTGGTGCTCAGCAGGGAATGAGAGAATGACCCGTATAAAATCTTATAAACCATTCCTTGTGGTTTTCTGTCAGGGGGCCCGTGGGTTCATTCCCACCCAGCAAGGCAAAAGTTTGTTGCATTTTGCCTGGATGTTGGCTTTAACTTTTTGCCAACTAATGGGTTTTCCATTAAACCACTAAAAGTTGATTTTTTAGCAGAACAAACCGCCAGGAACCAGCTGATTCCTTAGCCGCCAGTGGCGGCTTGGGCGGCGAGCCGCTGCCCAGGGGCTGCCGGCCGCAGCTGTAACTCGGCCTGCGCATTTTTTAGGTGGCAGTTTTTCTTGTTTCCGTTTTTTTTTTTTGGGGGGGGGGGGGGGTGTCTCTTTTTTTTCCAGGGGGGCCTCTGTTTTTGGGGTTTTCAAAGCCACAAGGAGGCGCTCTGTGGACTTGAATTGTATTTCCAGGCTCGCCTTGTCTTTTAGCGGCAGCCTTTGCGGTGGTTTGATGGGTTCTAGAGATGGTCAATCTCACAGGGTTCCCCTTTTTGCACTTGGCCGTTGGGCAACTTGGTGTTGAAGATGGGTTGTAGGAAACGTGAAAAGGAATCCAAAGAAAACAATATAGCCAACACCTTGTGTGAATGCCGCTTGAGAAGCCATTTGTCGTATTGGTGTTGACCCACCTGTGATTCGATTGGTAAGACACGCTCATCCACTGCAGGGCTCGCACAAGCTGCAAGGCAAATGAAGCTAATGGCGCATTTGGCGCTTGTGCGCAGAATAAACATTCAGCACCAGGCGAAGGTCCAATCTCAGAGAAAAACAGCAAGTCACAACCCTTGAATGAGCAAAGTCTGGGATTGAATACAGAACCATCCTCTTGCCGAAACAGCCACGGGACCCTTGCTTGACCTCCCCAAATGGGTGACGGAACATTGGGGAACAGCCTCAGACGGGCCCATAAATCCAAAGCTGGATGCCCATTTCTGCTAACGCTATGGCGGCAACAAGCCATGCCTTGGTCATTTCTTTGCCCTTTCTTCAGTGGATCGAACCATCACATCACTCCTTCATTAGTGAAGGGAACAGAATAGCTCAATGTTTACCCCGATGTTACATGTTGTTTTGAGAAACTGAAAAGAGCATTGGTAGCTTGTTGCTAGCTTGGGTATAGAGAGGACATAAGGCCCCCCCCCAAGTCGCCAGCAAACACTAACAACTGTGGGCCAGCTTTGCAGGATACGTTTGCTGAGGCTTGAGTTGTTTAGCTCTGCAAGGCTTAGTGAAGCCTTTTGTGATTCCAGACCGACCATTTTAGTGGTAAATAGAAAGTTCAGACTTCTCTTGTCCAATCCACCAAGGAAGCGAATGTGGTTTCTGCCTTGAACGAATATCATGGTAATGTTTCATTGGCCCCAGGCTCCGAGGTTCGTCTTGTTGAGTTGGAGCAACGATTATTGCCCAGTACCGGACGTTTGCCTGTTTTTTCCCAGGGGATCCATGATTTGCTTCCGTTGACCAGCCGCTGGATTGCTGAGAGGCTTGAATCTGGCCCATGTCCCTTTCCGAAGCACCGCTTTCAGCCAAGGCACCGACCAGAGTTATCCGAGCCCCCGCAGCCTGGCAGACACGGCACAGGGGCGGCAACTTGTGAAGCGTGCGGCCCCGTTTCAGGTGGCATCCCTTTTCAGCCCCCGAAGCCCCGAAAGGAACCCTCCGGAACCCACCCTGAAAGCTGCCCCCAACCAAGGGCTGCGGTTGAGGAGAAAGCCTGAGCCCCAAGGTGTTTCACTTGCCGAAAGCGCAGCATGATCCTCTTTCCCAGTTAGTTTCCCAGAAGCACAGTTCGTGATTGCGCACATCCTGCCCGGTCCTACTGTAGCGTTCAGTCAAATTGCTAGTGTTTGCATTCGCAAAGTCTGCAGGCTGCTGCTTTACAGGGTGGCAGCTACTGGCAGCCTAAAATCCAGATGTTTGATGGTGAACTGACTGTCGATTGGCAACTCTTAATCCACGATGTGCTAGCCAAAACACGTTTGGTTTTTTGTCCTACCAGCCAAGCCATCTTCATTCCCACGCAAAGAGCTGACATGGGTTTTCTCCAGCAGCGTTGCTCGATGTTACAAAGGGGCAGCGCAATAAGCGCAGATGTGGCAAGGCTCAAGACTGCAGAAGGCTTCTGTGAGGTCTATGAGGGTGGCGTGAGTCTCAAATCATGCATACTGTCCATGGATATATGCAACTTTCACAGTCGCACGCTTTTCCCCCGTAAATTACAACTCAAGCCAGCGCAGCTCACATGGTGCAATGCGTGCGCACCGGGCATAAAGGTTAGTCAGTTGCATATGACCGTGATCAGTTTGAGGCGTGACCGTTTGCATCTCACACCATGTGCGCGATGAAACGGACACAAGGGACGTGGCTTGGAGGGCTCCCGTGTTGCAGGAAAAGGAAGGGACCGAACCCGTCACCCATGTAGAAGTTCACCAAGAAGGAAACCCGTTTGCGCAGTGCGTGAAAACCTGGTGTGTCACAAGGCGTATGTAAACCTTTATGACCATGAATGTTTGGAGGAGCCAAACGTCAATTGATGTTGGGCGGAGCTCATTTGGGTGTTCTTACCTTTGGCTTTCCCTTAAACCAACTCCGACACGGGTACGCTCAACCGATTCTGTATGGCTTTGAAGGGAAGCCAAGAGGAAGCCGGCCACTTTAACAGTCAATCATTTTGCGCAACACCCCCCCAAAAAAAGTGGAAACCTTCAAAGTGGGAAATTGTGGGTTAAACTAGGGACACATTTGGGTGTTTCCTTCTAGTCTCACCCGGCCAGTGGACACACTTTGCACTTTTTTTCTTGGTGGCTTCCCCTTTAGTTTAGTGGTGGCCGAAAAAGTGTACACCTTCTTTTTTTTGCAGGCCAGTGGCTAAGTGAGTAGCACACAAGTTGTGGGGTACTTCCCAAAAAACGAGGCCCCCCCATGTGGCTGTGGGTCAAAGCCAATGGTACCATTTTGGTTGGTAGGTGAATTCACCACCCATGTTACCTATTTTGGTGGTTGGATTGGTTGATGTTCACTGGGGGATAACCGGGGTGTTGACCCATGGCCATGTCGCCTCCAAGTCCGCCGGCCGCTGTGCTGCTCTTCGCCGGCCCTGTGCACCTCGCACGCGTCGACGAAGTCGCGCCCCCGCGGTATGCGCCGCGGCGATTTGAGCGCGGGAAGTTGCCGTTGGTTTTGGTCTGCCTAGAACTGAGTGATACATCATACGTAAAGGGAAACCACTCAACTTAAAGGCTGGTTCTAGGTTCAAGTGCACTTTACTATGGTGTGCATGGTTGTGGGACTTTGTGTTGGATTGTTTTAGGCTGCGGGGGAGCGCTTCTATGCACGCTGAGTCGGACATGTGCTTTGTGCCTGGGTTTCGGACAGTCCGAGCTGCAAGCCAAACCTGCACTTGTTCAAAAGGCTTCATTGTGTGGAGTTCAGCATGTTCACTGATGTATTCCGAACGAGCGTCATCCATTTGGGCATGATATCCGTCCATCCATTTCTACAACCATCCACTGTTCCCCTTCTTCTCCACAATGTCCATGTCCATAGTATAGAAGTATGTTCACGTATGTTTCTACACATCTGCCTTTGATTGGAGTCATATTTATATTATATATATTATATATATAAATATATATATACACATTTAGACTCGTGAATCATACGCATGCAGGCGCCAGCGTCAACACCACAGAAGCTTTATACACACATGTCAGTGTGTTTGCGTCCGATGAGAGCTTGGGGCGACGGGACCCATGGCCAAGGTGCCAGACCACCGGCGCTACGCAAGGGGCGGCAGCTTCTGGGTCCTCCAATGGCTGGAGGCGGAGGCTCAAGGGGCTAGGGTGGCGTGTGCTTGAGGTAAGGCTGTTTCCCAAAATGGGTGACCCTGAATGGCCGGCTTCCTTGTTTTGCCGCAAGCCATGCCCACAATCAATTTTCACCAAGTTGCACCTCCTCTTGGCACCTTGCACGATCCGCTTGAAAATTGAGGCTCGGCAATTCCCCCCCCCCCCCCCCAACCCGCCCCCCCCCCCGCAACCCAACCCCCCCCCCCCTCCCCCCCCAACCCGCCCTCCCCGCAACCCCCCCCCCCCCCCCCTCAGCTTAGAATAGCCTCTCCCGCCCAGTTAGGGGCACCCCCGCCTATACCCCCCCTACACTTTTGAGCACTTTTTAAACACACATACCAAATCACCCCAAAACCAACCCCCAAATTGAAACACCTACTAAGTAAGCCCTCATCATCAACTTCATTTTTCGCCTAATTTGTCCAACCTTTAACCCAACCCTTACACTCATTCAAAACAACAATCCTAACTACATACTAATTCACACCTCCTCAAAAATGTCACTCAAAACAAACAATCCACATACCAACAAATGTTCACCTCAACTTCCAACCATCAAAATTTCATTTTTCCACTTCATGATCCAAACTGCAACCCTTAACCAAAACAAACAAATTCAAACTGTCTAATAAACAAAGGCATTTATAAATCAATTCTCGCCCTCAAGTTGGTTAACCATTAGAAAAATAACATATTCTAATCGTCAACCCAAATTATATTCTCTTTCCTGTAGTTTCTCCTTGTGACCTTGCGTCGCCTCATGTTGCTTCATCTTATATTTGGTAATCTCAACACCACAAAGCGTACATTGCATTTTTTCCTTGTTGGCTTCTCTGTAACTCTTGTTATACTCCCTGTTCTTCTCAACTGTCCGTTTGCGGTAGTCACGTTTTTGATCAACACAAGTGTCGCATGACTTCAATCCATACACAAATTATTCCATTCCCTTTTCATTCCTGCATCTCGTGCACATCTTCTTCTCCATGTTTTAGCAAGTAGCTTTTTCTTTATAATAGGAATGTCCAAGGTTCAGCACCAAAAATCGCACATTCATACACCCGTCTTCATTTCTCACCCATCTCCCCACCCCCAACACCAACACATCAGCTCATTCAAAACAACGATCAGAACCGCATACCATCTTCACACCACACAACAATCAATTTTCAACAAGCATACCAACATCTCACCTCAACATCCTAAGATCATCATTATTCTCCCTCCTTCCTCCCACCAACGCACTAACAAGCACCCTAATCCGTTTCTTCACAAACTCAAGCAGTCTAAAATGAAACCCCAAAATTTATGTTACCCTCATCCCCCCAAAATGAAAGAACACCACCATTCCCGCTCAAACACCCCCATTACCCTGGATGGTAAAATGCCGGCTGAAGACACATGCACCAATCCATTGGAGCTGTTTGAAAGCAACTTTGGGGAACAATTCCAGCGGTCTTGGTCAATTCCATTTTGCGGGCAGTATTGGCTTATGCAGTTGTCAGAAAGCATCACACTGCATGTAGGTTCACACCCTCAGTGGCGCACATATCTGCAGTGGTTAACGCAAGAAATTCCACCCTGTCACAGAAGGTGTCATGCGCAAAGCCTTGGTCTTCAGGACAACAAACTAGCCGTTATCCCCATGACACGCATTGTCATGCGTAGTGGGCGGCGCTATGTGCTTGCATGGTTGCTCGTTTGCTGTTGGGATTTTGCAGTGAGCCCTCAGCAGTAGTAGTTCGTCTTTTCCGCATTGCCACCACGACAGCCTCCCAGAAGTGGTGATGCTTCGGAGCTTTTGACAAAGAAGTTGTCGGAGATAGAGAATGAGCAGGTGGAGAACTGGATCAGGGCACAGTTGGAGGATTTGGAGTATTCAGATGTTGCAGATGCAGCGTCGCTTGCTGGTTACAGGAGAAAGGGTCTTTTGCTGCGCTGCTCTCTTTTGATGACCTCCTTGCGATTCTCACAACCATTGATGGCAAGACTGCTGTACAACCTCATCCAGAGAGGTGTTCCACGAACCGCGCCCGCTGCTTGGAGCAACCCTTGCACAGACTGTGATCCTATTTTGCAATGTTATCACATTTCGCTTCTGTTTTGTGGTTGACGTCTAGGTGTGGGGGCTAATGCTGTGGGTTCGCCCTTTCCCCCTGCAGGTTCTGGCTGATGCCTCTGACACGGACAAAGACTTTGCCCGAGCGTCGGAGAACGCGAAGTTGGATGCAACTAGTCAGTTTCTGGAGACAGACGACGGCAGTTTCAAGCAACACCAAGATGCAGAAGTGTGGAATGATAGGACATTTTATGTTAGGGACTGCTACAAGAAGATTGCTGACATCATGAATGCCACACAACCCCGCACTATGTCGCTTTTGGGCTCTTCGGGCATCGGCAAGTCCAATTTCATTGTCTACCTCATGTGGCGCCGCTTCCAAGACCCCGAGTTAAGCACATTTTTGTGCATAGGGGCAACAGAATCGTGCAGATTCTGAAGGGGCAACAGCCACGAGAAGTTGACGGGGCAATCGTGCGGAGGGCTATGCCACGAGCCCTATACATCATGGATGCCAGCATTGATATGAAGAACGAAGTTGTGTGCCAGAGTCTTTGGATTACCTCTGCGAGGAAGCCAGAATCTCCGGCCTTCAACACAGAGCATTTCAAATATGCCGACAACTGCGGCGGGCGTTTTTTTCTACCACCATGGACTTTGGAGGAGATGCTGGATGACGAGGTGGCGAGGCTCCACGGATTGTCAAAGAAGGTTGTTGAAGAGCGCTTTGCTATTTTTGGAGGCACTGCAAGGCTAGAGTTGCGAACGGACAAGGCGGAGACAGTCAATGACAGGAAGAGGCTTGATGAGGCTTTGCAGAACCCTGAGGCACTATCAATCCTGCAGATCACCTCCGACATGAAAGTCATCAGCAAGACCACGCATTGCTGGTGAAGATTCACCCGACAGAAGGTTTTGGATGGTTTGATGTAAATATATCTTCAGACTATGTTGCACAAGAGCTCGAGACGGAGGAGCAGCCCGCCATCCAGCAGACTGCACCATCCACAGAGCCTACCTATGCCGGTTGGACAGACCAAGATTGGGATCAATCATGGACATGGAACGAACAAGGCTGGTACTCATCCCATGAGACATCCAGCAAAGGGACAAGCGCTAATGGCATTCCATGACGCATATGAGCATCATGAGAAAGAGGCCATCCACGGGAAGCTGGTCCAATCAGATGCAGTTTCAGAAGACAATTTGTCCGTCGCAACAAATCACAGCCTTTTGGCAACAAAGCTGATGGCGCCTGTCATCAACCCTCAGCACAATCCGAGCTATGCGATCCTGGACAACGGATGTACCAGATCCATGGGCAGCTGGCGTGCAATCCAGCGTTTTACTCAGGCCATCGAACCTATGAAGGACATAATCTCCTATCAGTACATCCCGGCCAAGACCAAGTTCACTTTTGCAAACGGAGAGACCGCCAGGGCAAATTGGACCCTGCATCTTCGATATCACACAACTCCTCCACGCAGTACCAACATCGACGTCCTTGAACAAGGAACTGTACCGATCCTCCTCAGCATCAGTCAGATGCGGAACCTCTACATGACCATCGAGCACACACCTCAATGTGACAAGATCACATGCAAGGCTTTTGGCATGAACCGTCAGGCAGTTCCGGTATCCGGTACAGGACATGCGCTCGTCGAGTCGATCTTGCTGGAGTTGCAAGAGTGAAGGCACATGGAGAAATTGCTCATAAGGGCCTCACCAACTACGTCTACGATGATGACAACAGCATCAAGTTTCCCTCAGGGGACATCACCAAGAGTGAAACTGTTTGTGCAGCAAAATCATCCGAGACGAAGGAGGACCTAGCAACTCCGAAAATGATTGGGTCTCAGAAGCAGGACCATTGGATCCTTGACAAGAAGAACAAGCAGCTAATCCGTGTGCGCATCACGCCTCGAAAGGCACTGTTCACACCAAATGGAGCCAAGGAATGTCCAATCAATCCTGATAACATCAGCCGAGAGCGTGCTACGGAAATCATTGATGCATCCGAAGGTGGAGATCCAGACATCCTAGAAGACAATTGGAGACTTACATCCCAGGCAAACAAACCAATGATTAACCGGTGGATAGGTAAGACCATTTTCACCCTCGCGGACAATTCGCTTAAGGACGAAGAAGCAGGCTCAGGATCGGCAGCAGACAGGATCATCGACAAGAAGGGCCGGTCGACCATTGAGCCAGATCCTTTCGCACCATCCTCAGAAGAACCAACAACGCTTCCGCTTGCACTAGGCTGAATCCACAAGCGATTGTCAAATCCCGACGAGTTGAAGAAGCTCCACCTCCAGCATCATCACATGACAACAGATCAATTTCGATTTAGAACTCGCTCACTTCATTTGCCGAAATCAACATTCGATCTATTTGACAAAATCAGAAGTGAATGTGAAGTTTGCCAAGCGGCAAAACATGCACCATCACGAAGCAAGACGAGTGGACTTCGAGCGGACACCTGTGGTGACATGACATTCATTGATCACTGTCAAGTTCCTCTTGGAACAGGAGAACATATCATTGTTTTTGTCATCCTGGATGGAGCAACAACATTGCTCACTGCAGAGGCAGTGACAACTACGCAAGAAGTCGACAACATCACTGTCCTCAGGAACTATTTTGACCAGTACCACTTGCAGCCCAAATCAGTTGTCGCAGATCAAGCCTTCATGACGGAGACATGGGAACATTTCTCTCAATCCCTTGACATCACACCGATATCATTGGGACCGAATACACCATGGCCAAATCGAGCTGAAGCTGCAGTTTGACTCCTGAAGGCACAACTCAACATCATGCTCAGTTCCATCAAGGCAGGCACAGCACCTGCCACACTGAAGAAAGTGACATATAGACAGCTAGTAAATGCAGCTGCAACTGTCAGGAATCAGACTGTCAC